AAAAAAAAAAAGATCTGTCCTGAAATACAATGTTGTCAGTGACAGGATAATATCTATACGCCTACAAGGAAGACCAGTTAATACTACTATTATTCAAGATTACGCACCAACCACCAAAGCCAAAAATGAGGAAACTGAAGATTTCTACCAACTTCTGAAGTTTGAAATTGACCAAACATGCAATCAAGTTGATTATCACTGGTGACTGGAATACAAAAGTTGGAAACAAAGAAAAGTAACTAGTAGGTTGGAGAATACGGCCTTGGTAATAGAAATAATGCTGGAGAGCACATGATAGAATTTTGCAAGACCAATGATTTATTCATTGCAAACACCTTTTTTCAACAACACAAATGGCAGCTATACACATGGACTTCACCAGATGGAGTACACAGGAATCAGACTGATTACATGTGTGGCAAGGGGAGATGGAGAAGTTCCTTATCTTTAGCCAAAACAAGGCCAGGAGGTGACTGTGGAACAGACCATCAACTGCTGATATGCAAGAGGTCATTAAAAAGACAGGAAAGGAAGAAAAGACCAAAATGGATGTCAGAAGAGACTCTGAAACTTGCCCTTGAATGGAGAGTAGCTAACGGAAATGGAAGAAATGACAAGATAAAAGTTCTGAACAGAAGATTTCAAAGAGCAGCTTGAGAAGGAAAAGTCAATTATTATAATGAAATGTGCAAAGACCTGGAGTTAGAAAACCAGAAGGGAAAAACACACTTGGCATTTCTCAAGCTGAAAGAACTGAGGAAAAGAATTAAGCCTCGACTGCAATATTGAAAGATTCCCTGGGCAATATGTTGAATGATGCAAGAAACATCAAAAGAAGATGGATGGAATGCACAGAGTCACATATCAAAAAGAATTGATAGATGATCATCCATTTCAGGAGGTGGCATATGATCAAGAACTAATGGTACTGAAGGAAGAATTCAAAGCTGCACTTAAAGAATTGGTGAAAAACAAGGTTCTTGGAATTGATGGAATGCTCATTGAGATGTTTCAACAAACAGATGCTGTGCTGAAGGCACTAACTCATCTATACCAAGAGATTTGGAAGACAGTTACCTGGCCAATTGACTGGAAAAGATCCATATTTGTACCCATTCCAAAGAAAGGTGATCCTTTCAAAATGTGGAAATTACCAAACAATATCATTAACATCACATGTAAGTAAAATCTTACTGAAGATAATTTAAAAATGGTTCCAGCAATATATAGACAGAGAACTTCCAGAAATGCAAGCTGGATTCAGAATGGGACGTGGTGTGAGGGATATCATAGCTAACGTTAGATGGATCTTGGCTCAAAGCAAAGAATACCAGAAAGATGTTTACTTGTATTTTACTGACTATGCAAAGTCATTTGATTGTGTGGATCATACCAAATTGTGGATAACACTGAGATGAATGAGAACTCCAGAACGCTTAATTGTACTCACGAGGAACCTGTATGTAGACCAGGAGGCTGTTGTTTGAACAAAACAAGGGGGTACTGCATGGTTTAAAATCAGGAAGGGGAGTGTGTCAGGGTTGTATCTTTACACCATATTTGTTCAATCTGTATGCTGAGCAAATAATCTAAGAAGGTGGACTCTATGAAGGAGAATGTGGCATCAGGAAAGGGGGAAGGCTTGTTAACAACCTGAGATATGCAGACAACACAACTTTGCTTTTTGAAAGTGAGGATGACTCGCAGCACTTACTGATGAAAATTAAAGACTGCAGTCTGCAGTATGGATTTCACCTCAACATAATGAAAACCAAAATCCTCACAATTGGACCAAAAAACAGCATCATGATCAATGGAGAAAAGACTGAAGTTGTCAAAGACTATATATTGCTTGGTTCTACAATCAACGCCAATGGAAGCAGCAGTCAATACATCAAAAGACGTATTGCATTGAGCAAATCTGTTGCAAAAGACCTCTTTCATGTGCTGAAGAGCAAAAATGTTTCTTTGAAGACTAAGATGTGCCTGACCCAAGCCATGGTATTTTTCAGTTGCCTCATATGCATGTGATAGCTGGACAATGAATAAGGAAGACCAAAGAATTGATGTTTTTGAGTTGTGTTGGTGAAGAATGTTGAAAGTATCATGGCCTAAAGAACTAACAAGTCTGTCCTGGAGGAAGTGCAGCCAGAATGCTCCTTGAAAGCTAGAATGGCCAGACTTCATCTCACCTACTTGGTCATGTTGTCAGAAGGGACCATTCCCTGGAGAAGGATGTCATGCTTGGTAATGCGGAGGGTCAGCAAAAGAGGCAGAGGCCCACAATAATGGATTGACACAGTGGCTGTGGTGATGGGCTCAAGTATAGCAGGGATCGCGGAGCAGGCAGTGTTTCATTCTGCTGTGTATAGGTTCGTTATGAATCAAAGATGACTCGATGGCACCTAACAACAACAACTACTACTACTAACAAGGAAATATCTCCAAACAATGAGGAAAATTGCAGATGACTCCCTGTGGAGTATCCTTTCACCGTGAGGCAGATAGAAACCTCAAGAATCTGTTGGGAACCAGAATTTTCCAGGATGCATATTCTAATCCCATTGTAGTCTCATGTCTCTAAAATTTGCCTCTCTCTTTATGTATATAATTTATGAAATTATGTATCTATGCTATTATATTAAGTACTATTCAAAATTTGAATTTTAAAAACTCAAATTTTAAACTATAATTAAAAGTTTTAAAGGAGCTCTGGTAGCATAGTGCCTAAGGCACTTGACTGCTAACCAGAAGGCTGGTGGTTCAAACCCACAAGCCACTCCTCGGAAGGAAGGTGGGCAATCTACTTCTGTAGTGATATTGCCTCGGAAACGCAAGGAGGGGTCGCTATGAGTTGGATCTGATTAGACGGTAGTGAGGTTTTTTTTTTTTTTTTTTTTTTAAAAATGTGAACCTTGAATTAAAATACTTATTCCAGCAAAGGGTAAATAAACTTCCAGCCTCAAGCAGAATCAGGCAATCAGGCTTGCTTTTTAAGGCTTATGTTTGGAGAATAAAAAGCCCAATGCCTTTAAACTGCTTAATAGCACCACAGGTTCCTTACTCAGAGAGTCTAATAGAAGATTGTTTCCTTCCTAAATATGTGTTACTTGTAGGACTTTTGGAAGCATTTTAATTTTTATTTCCAGCTAGAAGTCACCAAGATAAATTTATTGTTCAATTCTCATAAGCAGATGCATGAAATTCCTAAAATAGCAGAACTTTTGCATTTTCTTAGATTTAAAGATGTCAATGAAAGCAACTGGCAATAAATTTAAATTTCTAAAATGCTAATAGCTTGGGTATTGCAGCCATTCGAGAAAAATTGGGCCAAGTGTTTGCATGAGAAAAAAACATTGTAATTTCCAACAGAACCTGAATGATAGCAGGTACAGGTTTACAAACAGCAGTCCCAGTTTATGTCTGTAAACCCAGAATTATCATTAATAGTGTTTTCAAAAGTTCTTTCACTTGGATGTTAAATAATATGATCCCCTAAGGCGAGATGATATTATATTCAAAACTGCAATTGATTATCCATGCTTCTCCAACCAATTTGAAGGCAAACATGGAAAAATACTCAGTATTACCTTTTTGCACAGCTGAGGGGAGTTCTTGAAGTCTCCAGATTGACCAAGAGTCAATTTTCATGTTAATCTTTTGCTTTCTCAATTTTTGTTGTCTTAAAGCTTCTTCAGCTTCTGCACGGTCAGTTTCTAGGCTTTTAATGAGATGGATGGCCTCTGACAACAATGTTCCCATCTCTTGCTTTATTTCTGGACACTTTTCATCTTACAATAGGAATATAAATTTACATTACTTAAAGAATCATTATATAATCTGTGTGGTGAGAACATGGGTCTTAAATTGAATCACTAGTTTTGAAATACTTATATATTTAATAAGAGTTTTTGAAAAGGGAAAAATCCTTTTAAAGATAGTTCTATTATAGTACAATCATAATAGTGATTACCACCTTTGAAGACACGTTTCTCAATTAACATTTTATAAAATTAGAATAGCTAAATATCAATCCATACTTTCACAAATAGTATCATTTCATCTGAAGGAAAACATATACTATTCAGAAGCTCTATTATAGTTTTACTTTTAAATTACACTTGTGTTTCATTCCTTTATACAGGAAAAGTAAATCATCATGATTACATCAGATAAATATTTTAATTTCTCAGATTGTTTCTAGAAACAAGACACTTCATATTCTTCTATCTTATCAGATAATAACTTCTCTACTTAACCTTGCCAGGAATTCATTGCCATTTCCAAGTTCTATTATAATCACTTATTATACAAATCAACTCCCCTAATGAAAGATAGCTGTAATTTCTGGTTCACAGCTCTAGAATGATATGGTATAATGTTAACAAAAATGTTAATGTGGGTATTCATTCACCTATTTATGCAAGAAATGCATACGGAGGTAATTATGTTCTAGACAATATGCTTGGTCCTGGAGAGAGATCAGTGAGTAAGATATGGGTCTCACTCTTGGGAGATTTATATTATTACTGGTGACTTTTGCCAAAAATGACATGACAAGAATACATAAACAGAAAGTGTCAAGAAAGGTAAGGCTCCCAAGGAACACAGGATGGAGAGAAAAATAGTAAAGTGTCAAGAATAAAGGCAACTAATAAACTTTTTTTCTTTGTTTTGCTTTTAGGCAATAAAGACAATGGTGTTCTGCCAGAAAGCAGGATTATATAATGATTACAGGATGGTTATAAGGACAAGCTCAGAGGTTACAGCCTAATCCAATGGGTTTGTCAAAGAAATTCAGCATGCTATCTGAAAAGAATTCTTATGAAATAAGTTTCCCCACTTTAATGTACAAAAATGATTTTTTGGGGGACTCATTCTTTATTTGGTCTCTTTAAGTCTACTCTCTTCTTGTGTCTATATGGTGGATACTACATTATTATGATTTTTTCTTGAAAACATACTCATTGAACACTATTCTCCAGCCAACTCAATTTCTATAATCATATTTCCATCTGAAACACATGAAGAAGAAGCTAATACTGTCCATGATTAAAACATTTCTGATTGTATATACATGTGGATGTCAGTGTTCTTCATGAGTGCCAATGCTTTTATACTGTCCTCTAACAACATTCTGAAATAAATGTAAGAACAAATAACTTGTGGTGACTCTAATTCATTCTATTTAACATCTCTCTTGAGTTGGGGGTTTCTGTTTTGTTTGTTCTGTGTTTTACCCAGACTACAATATCAATCACTTTTATTGGTTGAGATACTGAGTAAGGAAACATCTGCAATATTTTTTAAAATAATATAAATATTTAATTACAACATATTTCCCTCATTCTGCTACTGTCTTGTGTTGTAGACCCAAATGTACATGCTAATAATAATAATAATTGTACTTGATTTTTCGTTTTTAGCCTAACAACCTTATTTTGAATTGAGATTGTGTCAATAACTTATTAGCCACTTCTTTCAACATTTACCATATAAAACCTTGATGAGTAATAATTGAGGTTTGCATTTTCCTTATAGATATAAATATTAAAAAGGGAAACAGCAGTAAAGAACTTTGCTATAAATAACAGATTTGAATGACAAAATAACATTTCTTGTTAAAAAAAATAATTTGTTTACCAGCTATCTCTAGGTGTTCAAGAATTTGTGTGTGTGTGTGTGTGTGTGTGAGTGGGGAGGGGTGGATGTAGTAGGTATTCAATAGAATCTCAAGAATATATTAAAATATGTAGAGTAATGTTAACACAAATATAATACCAGTTTACAAAATGTCTTACATTCTGAAAATTGTAACAATAATATTAGTGACAACATACATATAAACTACAGTTGCGATATTCAATATGGCAGCTGTAAGCCACATAGGACTATTTATATTTAATTTAAGTTCAATTAAAATTAAATAAAACTTTAAAATTTATTTCTTCATTCTCACAAACCACATTTTGAGGGCTCAACCGCTACATGTGGCCAGTAGCTTCTTTATTGAGACTGTGCAAATATAGGACATTTCAATTATTATAGAAGTTTGGATGATAGACATGAACTAGAGTTAACTCTTGACCACTTGGCAGAGATCATTAGATACTCGGGTTCTAGATCAACATCTGATACATAATAATTATTAAGAGATACTTCTTGAATCAAAGTTTAATCAAATGATACAGGCACTATGCCACAAGAATTATAAAAATCATAAACATGTTTATTATAAAAATCAGAAATAAATTAAAAACAACTGAGGGTTTAAATATAGTTTTATTTGTTTATGCATATATACTTTATGTATAATTATTTACATATAATTTATTTATGTATATTTATGTTCCTCAATAAATACAAGGAAGAACTTTACCTTCCACTTCTGTTTTCACCTTTTCCTCTGACGCAGCAATGCTTGTACTCCAATCTTCTGTCACTCCTTTTGTGGAAGAAGCTGCACTCCTTTATAAGGTGAAAGAAACAATCAATTCACAAAGGAGGGCTGTACTAAAAATTAGTAAAACAAATTTTAGGTGATGTTCTTACACTGAATTTTAAATGTTTATGGTGATACTGTACATATTAATCTTCCTACATGGAAAATTAGTATAGTAACAATTAAATAGGTAATGGGCTTTTACCTATTATGTAACTTTACCTATTTCTGTAATGGTAAAATAATACAAACTTAGATTTTATTAAAAATTACCTGAAAATTTGAAGGGACTTTATAGTAGTTTTTGATTATTTTTGCTTTCTTGAGAAATTGTTCTTTCCTAGGATAAGTGTCACAATTAGGAAAAGGATGTTTCTAGAGAACAACGTGGATGACCTAGTTTTCTAATCTCAGTTTAACAGTATCTGGGGAACCAACATAAACTATGTGGTTGTTGCTGTTACGTGCCATCAAGTCAGACCCAACTCATAGCAACCCCTCCTTGGGTATCCAAGGTGGAATCACTACAGAAGTAGACTGCCCAACCTTCCTTCCAAGGAGTGGCTGGTAGCTTTGAACCATCAGCCTTCTGGTTAGCAGTCGAATGCCTTAGACACTATGCTATCAGAGCTCCTAACATAAACTATAAGAAGTATAAATACCATTTCAGATTTGAAGCTGGTTTTCAATAAGTGTTTAGAAAATGTCCAAATTAAATTATTATTTCCTTTAAGAAGTTTCTTTCTAGTGGCAGTTTTATACATAAAATAATGAAATATTTCTCATTATTATTATCTGTCTGTTCCTATTCTAAAATCCTACACTAGCCTTCATAGTATTTAAAAACAGGTATTTTCTGGGGGCCAACTCGACGGCACATAACAACAACAACAACAACAACAATTTTCTGGGGGATGAGCCAAAATGTAAGACTAGGTGGATACACTATCCACATCATATATGACAAAGACTCAACAAAACAAGTGAAATGGCTATGGGTGACAATCCTGAATGAAATCAGTAAACAAGGAGAGGTAAACTGCCAACTGGTACAGCATGGCATTTTGAATTATTGGAAGCAGTGTTCTGATCAGAGCAAGAACAAGATAACTGGTTCTGTTTGCCCAGGACTGCACCAACACCCACAACGTGATCAGGTAATAAGAGGGTTGGGAGCCAGTGACTGTATCCAGCCACTCCCACCACATCTCTGACCTACCCACTGGGAAAATGGCACCATCTGCTCCAGTATCACTGGATCAATAACATATGGCAACCAACACCCATCCAGCCTGCCTTCAACTTATCTGCATGATCAGTGATAACAGACTCATGTCACACTCCACCTGCTACCAAATCAACAAGAGATAGGCACTGAGCACCCCAGTGCTCCCAAACTGGAGACCAGAGTAGCATACTCCCCTTTTCCCCAGATATATTAAAACAAAACAAAAAATCAGGGTAAAGCAAACCAACATACAGTCAACAAATTAATACAATAACACTACACAATGTCTTGGAAACAGCAAACAATGTCACATTACACACATACACACACAAAGATGGGGCAGTTTGCTTCCACAGAATAAACAGTTACTGTACCAAAAAGGGGGAGCTCTGGTAGCATAATGGCTAAGACACTTGCCTGCTAACCAGATGGCTGGTGGTTCAAACCCACCAGCCACTCCTCGGAAGGAAGGTTGGGCAATCCTACTTCTGTAGTGATACTGCCTCGGAAACCCAAGGAGGGGTCGCTATGAGTTGGGGCCGACTCAAGGGCACATAACAACAACAACAACAATGTACCAAAAAGGACGGGTTGACATTCAACAATTTCAGGAGACAGCATATGATCAAGAACCAATGGTACTGTAGAAAGAAACTGCCCTGAAAGAATTGACAAAAAACAAAACTCCAGGAATTGACAGAATGCCCACTGAGGTGTTTCAACAAATGGATTCAACACTAGAATTGCTTACTTGTTTCTGCCAAGAAACTTGAAAGACAACTACTTGGCTAACCAACTGAAAGAGAACAATATCTGTGCCCATTTCAAAGAAAGGTGATTGAACAGAATGTGGAAATTATTGAATAATATCAATAATATTACATGCAAGTAATATGTTGCTGAAGATAATTAAAAAATGATTGCAACCATATATTGACAGAAAACTGCCAGAATTTCAGGGTGGATTCAGAAGTGGATGTGCAACAAGGGATATCATTGGTGATGTTAGACGGATCTTGTCTGAAAGCAAAAAACACCAGAAAGATGTTTACCCGTGTTTCATTGGCTACGCAAAAGCACTGGACTGTGAGGATCATAACAAATTACGGATAACTTTGAGAAGAATGAGAATTCCAGGGCACTTTATTGTGCTCATGAGGAACCTTTACGTAGACCAGGAGGCTGTCATTCAAACAGAATAAGGGGATACTCAAAAAACCAAACTCACTGCCATTGAGTCAATTCCAACTCATAGCCACCTCCTTTGGTTTTCCGAGGCAGTAAATCTTTACAGAAGTAGATTGCCCAGACTATCATCTGTGGAGTGACTGGTGGGTTTCGACAGCCAACCTTCTGGCTAGCAGTCAAATGCCTTAGGCACTAACTATGCCAGGGTTTAAAATCAGGAAAAGGGTATGTCAGGGTTGTATTCTTTCACCATAATTATTTAATCTATATCCTGAGCAAATAATTCGAGAAGCTGGACTACATGAAGAAGAACATGGCATCAGGATTAGAGGAAGACTCATTAACAACCTGCAATACGCAGATGACATAATTTTGCTTGATGAAAGTGAAGATGACTTGAAGCACTTACGGAGGAAGATCAAAGACTACAGTCTACAGTATGGATTACATCTCAACACAAAGAAAACAAAATTCCTCACAATTGGACCAAGGAGCAACATCATGATAAATGGAGAAAAGATTGAAGTAGTTAGGAATTTCACTTTATTTGGATCCACAATCAAGACCCATGGAAGGAGCAGTCAATAAATCAGACGTGATACTGCACTGGGCAAATGTGCTGCAAATGACCTCTTTAAAGTGTTGAAGAGCAAATATGTCACATTGAAGACTAAAGTGGCCTAACTCAAGCCTTAGTATTTTCAGTCTCCACAAATGCATGTGAATGCTGGACAACGATTAAGGAAGACCAGAGAAGAGTTGATGTTTTTGTATTGTGTTCTTGGTAAAGAATACTGAAAATACCTTGGAGTGCCAGAAGAACAAATAAATATGTCCTGCAAGAAGTACAGTGGAATGCTCCTTAGAAGAGAATGGTCAGGCTTTGTTTCACTTACTTTGGTCATGTTATAAGAAGGGACCATTCCCTGGAGAAGGATATCATGCTTGATAAAGAAGAGGGTCAGCAAAAAATGGGGAGACCCTCAACTAGACAGATTGACACCATGGCTGCAACAGTGGGCTCAAGCATAGCAGGGATTGTGAGGATGGCCCAGGAGTGGGCATGTTTCATTCTGTTGTACAAGGGTCGCTATGAGTTGGAATCGACTTGATGGCACCTAACAAGCCCCAGGGACAACTCAGGGACACCCAAAGCAGCAGGCCAGAAAAGCAGGAGAGAGGAGATTAAAAGCCAGGGAGCCAGACAGAGGAACAGTCAGCCACAGGGACCCAGGTGGGGGTGATAC